TAAGGTTTCGATACGTCAAGCCTTCGAAAAACACAACGGGTGCAAAAATACATGCTAAGGCATAACTAAAATTTCAATAAGTCTTTTAGCCGAAGTGAGGGAAAACTATATAGCCATTTTTAGAGGCCGAAACGGTCTAATTTAAAGAGCCTAAGGGCCAACCTAAAAGAGCCTAAGGGTCAATTCTAAAAAAGAGCCTAAGGGCCGATATACAAGAGCCTAAGGGCCAGCTTAAAAAGAAATATAGGGTCAAAGACCTATGAGAGTCCGAGACCCTATTCTCATTTAACTCGGACCCAAAGGCCTCGAGCTTGCATTAATTTGACTTTAAGTTTGGCTCGGGGATATCTAAAACCCTAAGGGGTATAAGCTTGGGCAATAAAAGCTTAAGGGCTTATTACGAGTCTAAACCGATGCCCGAACTTAGCATTTGTATCATCGGAAATTTTCATAAACGGGAACAAAATAAAAGTCAACACAAATCAAGGACAGAGCAAAAAGCTACTTCATATTCATTTGGGAAATTTACAAAACATATTACAACGCCCACAAAGGGCCCTTGTACAAAAGGAACCTAATCTATTTTCGGGGCCCCGTCCTCGAAAGTGTCGTCTTCATCTCCAGTGGCTTTATCTTCGGGAGCCTCTTACCCTTCGGAAGCATCTCCTTCACTTTCCTCGTCCCCGGAGCCACTCACCACGTCCTCATCATCAGAGGAGACGAGAAACCTAGCATCAGTTTCCCATGCTTGTGCTTCGGCTATCTCTTCGGCAAGGTCGAACCCTCGAGCACGGACTTCCTCGAGAGTCTCCCTCTGGGCTTGGAACTTAGCCAATTAATTTCTCCGCTTTGCCCGGTCGGAGGCCTCACTTAGCTCAGATTGAACGGCCATGGCTTCTCTCTTATATATAGCAATGGATTTATCGACCGTAGTCTTCACCTTCTCAGCTTTGGCCTTAGTTTGTGCAGGCTCAGCCTTAGCCTGTGCAGCTTCAGTTCGGGATTTAGCCAGTTCGGCCTCCAACCCCTCGATTTTTCTAGCCTGAACTAGGCCCTTCACTTCAACATCGCGGAGCTTAGCCTCAGCCGAGCCAGTTGGGCCGCAATAGCTTCCTTATCAGCAGCAAGTTGATCCATATTCCTCTTCCACTGATGACAATCAGCCCTTACCTGATTCACCTCGCCCCAGAGCTGCCCAATCATGTCTAGCTTTTGCTTCAGCTGAGGTGTCAAAGTATTAGCCCCCGAAGTAGGGCCAAGGAGTCCGTGCTCGGTTAAAATCAAAGTTACCTGCTCGTCCAGCTCGGACTCACTTTTTCGAGCTTTAGCTAATGCTGCTCGGAGATCCTTAAGCTCCTCTTCTTTCTGATCACAGAGGAACCTCAAGGCCTTTTCTTCGCCTGAAACCTTCTTGAGCTCGGCCTCGCATCGGCTCAGCTCAACTCTAAACTTTGCAACGACCTACAGATGAAATAAAGGCACGTCTGTCGAAAGAGAAGAAAGAAAAAATCACAATATTAAAGGGCATGTCCTTACCCGGGAAAGGAGATGCTGGGCCTCTTAAAAAATGGAGGGTGCATCATTGAAGTCATCGGCATCCTCAACTCCAGCATAGCAACTCTGGAAAGGATCATCCGCGATGACCTTACTTGGGTCGGGCATATGTAAAGTGTCAGCTTCCTCGATTCCCTCCCCAGAATAAGTTGGCATTGAAAGAGAATGACCTGTTGTCGCGGCCCCGAGCTCTTCACTCGGGGCGTTTTCATTAACCCGGCGTCCTCAGCATTTACCCCCTCTAGTATAGTTGTTGAAGATGGAGGGACAATCTCAACCTCCAGAGATATGGGGCCTTGCCTGTTTCTTCCCTTCGGACATCCCCACCACGGGATAAGGTTTCCAGTTCGGAAAGAACGGTGGCCTCAACTGGCTTCCTGGTCCGAGTTACAACTTCCGACTCTTCATCATCATTTTCTTCTCCATCCGGGGAGTCATGGGCCGAGTCTGCACCCGTTTGAGCAAACCTTTTCTGCAGTCTTCGAGTGGAGGTTTTCTTGTCTTGAGGGTCCTCAGGTTTCGAGACCCTTTTTCATTTGTTTTCTTTCTCCGGCTTGGGATTTGAAGTTTTGGTTGTTTCCTCGGGCGGAGACGGCCTCATTTCGGAACACATCTCCAAGACCTGTATCGGCAAATGTGAGTGAGTAAAAATGCTGCAAAAAATATAGAAAGTGTTGAAACCATCGAAAGACACCTATTGTGGTTCTTGGCCTCCCACTGGCCCTTTGCTAAATCGCGCCACTTGCGCTTGTCGTAGGAAGAAGTGACAGCTAACTTTCTGACCCAATCCTCGAGATCGGGTATCGCTAGGGGCGCCCAAGATTTGTCTGCCAAAAGAAAGATAAGGGCGTTATGGAACATGAAAGAATATGAATGTATACAAGAAATACAAGCTCCATTTACGGTTAAAGTTCCACTTCTCCGGGAACGACATTTTTTCCTCGGGGATGATGTCCGAAGTTCATACTCTAACGAACCGGCTCATCCAACCCCGGTCTTTGGGTTCGTCGGTGCTGACAAAGAAGGACTTCGTTGTTCGACATTGCAGCTTGATGAGCCCTCGAAATAACTGGGGCCGATACAACCGAACCAGGTGACTAAGGGTGAATTCTTAACCCTTGGCCTTTTCAGAAAAGTACCGCAACATGATCACTATACGCCAAAAGGAAGGGTGGATTTGACCAAGGGTGACTTCGTACGTCTTGCAAAAGTCGATCACCACCGGTCGAGGGGACCCAGTGTGAAGGGGTAAGTATAAACACCCAAAAACCCCTCCTTGTGGGTAGTTATGCTTTCATCAGGCCTCGGGATCTGAACCTCGACCTCGACTCCCCATCGACAATCCTTTTTTACATCCTCGGTGAGCTGCTCAATTATTAGGCTAATGTATCGGGATACGTGCTCGCATCAACCTTCGACATCGGGAGGGTTCTCAATGCTGAAGTCTTTCTTAATAATGCACACCAGGGGTGATCTCCTCAAGAGTTGGCGGCACTACCGGTTTGCCCGGCCAGGAGGCAGAGGAAGATGATGCTTTGTCCTTTTTGGGGACCATCTTGAAAGTTTTGGCCATGGTTGTAAGCTAAAGAATGCTGGTGCACATGGATGCGGTGTTTCCGGCAAGAGCTTGGTGTTTTCCAGCGCTCAAAGAGGCGGAGGAAGCGAGTGATTGAAGAAAGAGATGAGAATTGGGAAAGATTTAAGAGAGGGTAAAAGTTCATTGTTGAGGGAAAACGCCTCATATTTATAGAGGGGCAGCGACGGTTCGGTGGCATCAATGGCTGACCAGCACTGGCGTGCAATCAATGTTTTCGGGGAAATGGGCTGATGGGACATTTTGGTCACTTCGAACGTTGGTTTCATGAGGATGACGTCATCACTAGAGGTTTGAGAAAATCGGTCAAAATCGTTTCATATCATTCCATTCTAAAAAACGCGGGGACTATCTGTACACGGTCAAAATCGAGGAGCATGATTTTGAAGTCTTAAATCGGGCTATAGGTCCGAGTCTGGGAGACTCGAAGTGGAGGTCAGGTCCGGCTAAGGGACACCCACCTCAAGGAAGCTGAGCAAAAGCCTGGCACGACTTACAACAAGGGCAGCACAATCTTGAAGTCAATCAAGAAAGAGCGGAAATTTCTCGAAGACACGTGGACCAGCGCATTAATTAATGGATAAAAGTTGTACGAAATGGTGCAGGTCCGTACTAGGTTATTGTACACATGTACCAATAGAATTCTTTACCCTAATGAGGAATGTACTATATTGGGGTTTTCCCCTCCTATATAAAGGGGACCCCAATCATTTTGTAAAGGTATCAGATCATTCGCCGCAATAGAACATTCTTATTCTTCTCTTGTTTAACATGCTCAACAATTATTCTTTAGCTTTATTGCCTTTACTTTATTGTTCATACTTTATTGGTCTTAGCTGACCCCGAGTTCCCTGGATAGACGAGCTCGAGGCCCCTATTGTTTCGACAATATTGATTTGGTTCATTATTTCTTCTTATTTAAGCTCAATATCATTTATATAATCACTAGTATTAAAATATATCACGTATCTTTAAAACCACAAATTATCTTTAATTGTTACTCACATTTTTCGAGGTGAACAGTGTGTAAGCTTACAACTGCTGGTGTGAGAGTCACTGCTTTGCAATTTCCTAATGGCTATCTTTGCTTATAGAATTTAAAGAGGCAATTGTTGTAATTATCCAGATCAAATTTATCCCCTTTTCTTGTCGTTTACATTGTTTTATTGTTAAGTTAAAAAATAGGCATTCTTGTTTTAGCATCGAGGCTTCAGTACAAGCCAATGTAAAATTAGGTAAACATTCTTCAGAGGCTAGTTCAAGTATACAATTTAAACAGTTAAATCCTGGAGAGCTTTTATGTAACTCAACTAACACAGAATTATACAACAACAACAACAACAACAACCCAGTATAATCCCACAAGTAGGGTGCCGCGTTTATCGAACCACGGGAACGAATTTACAGGGCTATCACCTTCTTTGGCCAGATCTTTGGGGAGGGTAATATGTACGCAGACCTTACCCCTACCCCGAGGGGCAGAGAGGCTGTTTCAGAATTATACATAAACCAAACTTTTAAATCAAGCGTTTCCGTTGTGCCAAATTCATGAAATATGAAAGTGAAATATCATGAAATACCCAACTCAGGGTAATTAGGTTGGAAGAAAGACATCAAGATTTGAAGGATCTTTCATTTTGACATCTGTAAAATGAATTCTTATTTGCACTTTGTGCTATTCTGCTGCCTCAACTCTTTGGGGTTACATGTTCAACGCACATGTCCAGAGACTAGTATAGCTAATTGGTGCGGAGATTCCTTCAGATTTACAAGTGACATCTTTTTAACAAGTCCAATTAGTTGCTAGTATTAACTATATGATTCCGAAATAATACTCTACCTAAAATGGAAATGAGCGAAGAAAGTAAGGAGTATAGATCAAGCTTAATCTGTACAGCAAGTCAAGTTGTTACAACAATTAGGAGAGATACAGGTACTTTGGCTTGCTTCATGAAAAGGAAATCAGTATCACATATATAAACATCTATATACTTATATCATATCACCAGGAATGGCTAGCACGTCTTCGGAGCTTTCTGCGAAAAGGCCTGCATGCTTCGATGCTCAGATCAACTGCAGCTGCAAGAGCCATGAAAATGGCAACATCCTCCACACAGGTCACATGTCGCATGGCAAGTTGCACGAGGGGCTTGCTGCATTTCCCTTCCCCTTGCACCCGACAGCTCATGACAAACCCGCCTACTACAGGACTAAGTGCCGTGAAATCTCCACTGCCTCTTGGACTATGCAATGGACTTGATGCTGCTCGAACCTGTCTGTCCGTGTCTATGTAGAACTCCCCACCCTTTTCAGCACTGATCAAGATCTCGGACATGAGATGATCCGCGCATTCCTGCTCATCAGATAGCAGATGAAAGCGACAGCAGATGGAGTCTCTGATCCCACGTTCACGCCATGCTTCAAGCTTTCCCCATGGCTGCCAGCTTTCAGGCCTGCAAACATCAGAGCGAACAATCAACCAAGCTCCTGGGTTGGATCTGGCCACCCAATCACAACCTGTTGATGGCACAAAAGGAGTTGTTATGAAGGCTGCTGCAACAGCCGAGCCAGAGAGATCATGAATCTTCACCTTCCATCCTTTCCTCTCTCTTTTATCAATGTCAAGCTCAGAGCTATCACTAGAGCTTGACCAAAAATTACTCAACGGATCTCGTGGGGATACCCTGCAAGTTCAAGGTAGCAAAATACATTTACGTTCGACCAAACTTAACGGTCCCTTATGGAAGCTGAAAGCAGGGCAAGAAATGATAATCCTAATATAAGAACCTTATTTAAATCAATTCTGGCAAGAGGAATAATAGAGGGAACGAGTGATCTGGGAGATATAAATGAAGCAACTTAAAGTTTAGAACCAAAGAACGAAATGCCTGTGTCAATGTAAATAGTCCTCAACCATGTCCGAAACACGAAGGGAAAAGATTCATAATCTACAAGAGAGCAAAAGTTGTACCGGTCTTGACTAAACTTGCAACTAAATATAGGTTGCTTGATAGTTCCTTGAAGCTGAACAATTTGAGGACTTAGTTTTGTCTTATCTTCAAACTGGAAAATGTATCTTGGATCAGGGTCCAGCTTCACTCTTAAATGAAGCTCTGCTCCAAGGTTTCTATTTAGCCGCTTGTTCTTGCCAATGCCTATCCATCCATTGAACAGAATGACTGGCTTTCCGTCACCCCACTCAGGACCCACTTCCAACTTAAATGTCCCAATCTGCTGCCTCTTAATACCAACACCACAGTGAGTTCCTTTGCGTCCTGTGAAAACAACAATCTCTAGACATGCGTGATGCTTTAATAAACAGCCAGGTTCTAGTAATGCTTTCAGATCAGATTCTTGAAGATAAAAACTGGAAGCTGTATTGTTAGTATCTGGAGTAGCTTCAGGAGAAGATACCAGGGGAATAGATGTTGTCTGCACAGGAAAACCTCGAAGACGGATCTCACATACACAAGGAGAAGATAGCGCACTTATCCCTGATTTTGCACCAGTAGCTGCCCCACGCACTCTCAACCCTAGTGACCCTATTGAGAGCCTAATGAAAGCCTGAGGATTCATTCTGGTCAAAAGACCGCCATTTGTTATAAAGCTAAATCCCAAAGTTTATAAAATCCTGTCAAGTTAAGAACAGGGATCAGGGTAGTAGATATTTAAGTATTTAGTGAATCTCAAATCCTGTCAAGGAATGCTAAGCTTTCATGTTAATATTGGTTAAATAAATTAAGAAAGAGGTATGCGAAGAGTTCCCGTAAGACCAGCCACATGCGAGATTTACATACATTAGACAAAGAATCTCTATAAACTTACGGTAATCTAAAGTTGCAAGATTGATGTACAATATAAAAGTTGAAAAATCAACATGCTTCATATTTGCACATATGCGTTGAAGTTTCAAGTTGGTCATCTTAAAGGATAGGAAATACAGTAGAATTGGCCATATCATAGATAAGACAAGAAAAAGGACTACCAGCTGCGTTTCTTTACATTATCTATACAGATAACACCATAAATTATTTCCGCAACCAGCCAAGTCTGATGATAGATCGAAAGAGGAAATATTTGCATATGCTGCAACTTATTTATATGATATCGTCAACAATCCTTCTATAAGCTATAACTGACATTCAGCACTATTAGGTAGATTCTGTAATGAGCAAAGGAATAATACAGTAAAAGAAAATGTGCACGAATAATCTAGTAAATACTGTAATCAAAAGGTGAAAATGCATCAATAAAAGAAATATCATACTCATGTAATCCAAAGAGACTAACGCAAGTGAAATCCCTTCCTTTTGATGGACCTTTATGTTACATCACATTTCTTCAGTAGAATGTCGTTAGACCTCTATATAATGCAACACCACAATATTTTGCTCATTATAACGTTGCAGGGAATACAGTTGTAGGCCAACATACAAATCTCTCATTTGATCATCGATCAGATACACAGAAAAAACTCGTCTATAGACCTTCCTAGTAGGTAAAAGGAAAACCTTATAAGCAAGAAAGATAACAACCACTCATATGAACACTAACTACATTACCCTAAGCTATAAAGTATAACCCTAAGTTTTGTAATTCACGCAAATCAGCCTGGGGTCAACCCTTAAGACAAACCGCAACATTCGAAACTTGGGGGGATAATGAGCCTGCCCCTCTACTCTTCTTTTGTAAAAACCTTCCCTCATTATTTCATCTTCTTCACTGACAAATGGTGAAAGTTAAAAGGGTTGAATAAAGCTCAGCTTGAGCTATAATTCACAGTAAAGATAGCTCAAGAATGCTCCCAAAACCTATGTATGCACTTCATCATCATAAACAATGGCACTAAAGCTATCAATCCAAGTTTTTGTATCATTATCCACTTTTCAGTAAAAACTCCAAGCTACCCACTTTCGACTAAAATCTCCAAAACTTTGTATCCTTATCCACCATTACATAATGAACCACATTTAGTATATAGTTTAGTCTCAATTGAGATACATACAATGATGTTCTGAATCTAAAGAACTTCTAAATTAGCAGACAACATTTTCCATAAGTGACGATAGCTCGCTTGAATTAGCATTCCACTAAACATACTGTCCATATCACAAAAAAAAAAAAAAATCAATAGTTCTGTTCTATGCTTCACTTTTCAGCTTCAATTTTTAGCCATTAATTGTTCAAACAAGAGTTATACATTGAAATATGCCCAGAAACCTAAATTTTACTTCAAAATTAAAACAAGCAAAGCAGAAACCACTTACTGCAAAAAATATACATGCGTTAACAGAAGCAAAAAATAAACAATAAAAAATCCACTTACTATGAAGCTTTCTCTTCCTTTTATAGCAAAGAAAAAGTCACTTTTGGAGCCAAATTCTTCCAAATGCCTGGATAACTTTCTCAATAAAAAATTTCAATTTTCAGAGAAATTTCAATAAAAAGAGAAACTTCGAGCTCTCTCTTTCCAGTAGATCCAATTATATCTGTTCATAGATCACGAGAAAACACCATTTTTTAATGTATATGTATGTTGTCACCTATATATGGATATTTGGTAAGTGTAGAAACATTCTCTGTATAAAAATGAGTTAAAAAAGGAAAGAATGGAAGAGGAAGAGAGAGGGAAAGGAGAAATGGGGCTTCAGTATTTAGGACGAAATAGGCGGAGAAAGTAAAGGTAAATTATTGATTTAATACCCTACTATAACAAACTAAGTACAAACTTTTGTGCCTGCATATTTAATTATGTTATTATATCTGATTAATTAAAGTATGGAGTAATATTTTCCTGATCTCTTATACCAGGTTATAATAATTTGAACTAAGAAAAATAATTTTACTAAGATTTTTCTTTGATTTTATTACTGATCTTTGTAAAAAAAGTAGTCATATAAATAATAAAATATTCACAACGAGACGTAGATCTATTTAAGAAGAAAGATGAAGAGACGTTTATGTTAAACAATATTTAACTTTGAGGATTATAATTTATTGGTACGATGATGAATAGAACACAATACCTAGGCAAGGTATTCCATTTTTCGATTTGATTGTTGATAAATGATGAAAAATGCATGTTTTTGAGTATGTTTGTATATTATTTTTTATGTGAGTTGCGGGAGATTATATGTTTATAAACATATAATATGCTCATTTCATGTTTATTGTGTGTAGGAATGAATTTGGATGGAAGTTGGCGAGAATTGGATGATTTGATGCAAAAAGAGTAGAGATGCAAGACCTGGAAGCGTGTCACAATCGGTGCATTGCATGAAGGTACGCGCGAAATGGCCAAGGAGATGAACAAAAAACAGCGAAGTATGGAGGTTGGCACTAGACCTCGCACGCGAAAGAACAAAGAAGAAAAAAAGAAATAACTAGGAGCGTGCCAGAAGTCGCACGTTGCACCAACTCTAGCACGCGACTCAGCGTGTCCTTTTTGAATTAGGAGAGCTCAAGGACGCCCCACATCAACCCTAATTGATATAAATACATCATAAAATGTCCTTTTGAAAGGGGAGACACTACTTTAGGGTTAGACAACACAACACCCAAAGAGGCAAGAATACGCTGGGAGCAAGAAGGAAGGTTCAACCACGGGTTTTTCCTTTCTTCTTCCTATTTTTCATTGTTGGTTATGACTTTTAGTATTGTAGTTTTACATACTATTATGAGTAGCTAATTCATTATCTAAAGTTTTGATGTAACCTCTTGGAGGATGACTTCCTGTTATATTTTAATATAATTTAACCTTTGGATTTATCTACTTGTTCAACTATGTGCTTATTTCAGTTGATTGAATGGCCATCGATTGACTATGCTTATTTATTATGTGTTGCTTGAGAAAGGATATATATTTAGGTGGTTGGTGAACAATGTCACTCCTAAGGTATATGAGAGATCAATACGGCAGGATTAAAAGCAGGATTAGAGATAACGAAGCTTTGACGTGATCATAGTGAGTGGTGAAAAAGTGCGAGCTAGCGTAAATTCGAGAGAATATGACTAGTACATTATTGTAGTTGCTCGAGAGAGAATTATGATAAGTCGAGTTCTCATGATCAGTAGAGAATACTTAGGCGAAATTATAGGAGATGTAGCAGGAAGGATTCCAACAATTGGGGAAATCATAACTCTAGGCCTCCTTAATCTTGTCTCCAACCCTTAGAATCTTTAGTTGCTATTACTATTTTAATGTGTTACTTAGTTAGTTAGATAGAAGAATCTTAACATTTATAACTTAGGAATTTATTCAAGCTTGTCTTCTTAGTGATACTGAACAGTTATAGCGAAACCTTAGTTCTCTGTGGGATTCGACTCCGGACTCTTAGACTGGATTATATTTGCAGCGACCGCTTATCCTTTTTAGGACTAAAGTTGCGCGTGATCACATTTTGGCGCCGTTGCCGGGGAACTAACGGTGTAGCTGTAAGTGTACATATTGCTAGATTTCAAGTTTGAACTTTTATTTTTATTTTTTGTATTTGATTTTTTTAATTTTTATTTTACTTATTAATTATAAAAACATGGCATCTTGGAATTGTGAGAGTTTGATATTGGTAATTCTACTTTTAATCCTCCTTATTATCACGACCCGAATTTTCCACCGTCGGGACCTTGATGGAGCCTAACATTGTACTCGCTTGACCGTGATTATCTCACCTTTTTCCTTTATCTTTTAACAATTAAAAATTTACTAAAATAGGTCAGCGTAATTAGATGCGGAAGAACACAGTTTAAAAGATTATCCTTATAGTAATAACAAAACGTAATAAATTCCACCCAGAACTGGTGTCACAACTCATGAACAGTCTACGAATACTACAAATAATGGTCTGAACGAAAAGTCTACATCTGTCTCAGAAATAGATAAAACATAAATGAAATAGGATAGAAGGGGACACTAGGGCTTGCGGACTCCTGCAGGACTACCTTGGGTCTCCGGGAAACAGTGATAGCAACCAACCTCAGGATCAGCCACTAGCTCCAAAATCTGCACAGAAAGTGCAGAGTGCAGTATCAGTACAACCGACCCCATGTACTGGTAAGTGCCGAGCCTAACCTCGACGAAGTAGTGACGAGGCTACGGCGGGGCATACAATCTATTCAACCTGCAACAGTTTATACTAAACAGAAAGGAAATACAGAATGTAATAAAGCAATAACTGGCATTAAATAAACTCCGGACCCAGATGTTCTAATAGTATTCAGCTATAACCAATCCTTAAGGGTGTTTCAACATCACAGTAATGGGCCTCAATAGAAATGGAAACATAATAACAACTGATACGGTGCGCATCCCGATCCCAACATATAAACAACAACAGTATCAATATTCACCTTTATTCCTCCTTGTTGCGGCATGCAACCCGATCCCACATGTCCACCCTTATTGCTCCTCAACACATATCACCCTTATTCCTCCTGTTGTGGCGCGCAACCCGATGCCACCTATCCACCCTTATTACCCCTTGTTGCGGCGTGCAACCCCATCCCATCAGACAAACACATTCCACCCTTATTCCTCCTGTTGCGGCGTGCAACCCGATCCCAATATATATATAAGCACCAAACACAAAAGAATAAAGACAAGAATTTCACAAGCTAACTCAAANTGTGCAGATAGAAATGCCAAATTGATTTTCAATTTCAGCATGGAAGGTCTGGAAAAATAGAAAACAACTCAGAACGGTTTTTCATCAAAAAATATCCAAGTGCACCTGGAATAATCATCAATGAAACTGACAAAGTAGCGGAATCCTAAGGCAGAGCTAACCCGACTAGGACCCCAAATATCTGAATGGACTAAAGTAAAAGGTGACTCTGCTCGATTGTCAAGACGCCGCGGGAAATGGGAGCGGGTATGCTTACCGAGCTGACACGACTCACACTCTAGAGTGGACAAGTGAGATAAGCCAGGTACCATTTTCTGAAGTTTTGACAAACTGGAATGTCCTAACCGTTTATGTAATAAATCTGGTGAATCAGTAACGGGAGAAGTTATTGGAGGAAGACAAGATGCGAGTCTATGTGATTTTGCAAGGATAAGGTAATAAAGTCCATCTGATTCACGTCCGGTACCAATGATCCGCCCTGTACTGCGTTCCTGTATAAAAACAAGGTCATCAAGAAATAGAACAGCAGATTTAAGTGATTTGGCTAAGCGACTAACGGCTATGAGATTAAAAGGACTACCAGGAACATAAAGGACTGAGTCTAAAGGTAAGGAAGGAAGTGGACTTGCTTGACCTATTGCAGTTTCCATGGCTTGAGACCCATTGGCCATTGTAACTGTTGGAAGAGATTGAGAATATGAGATACTAGTGAAAAGAGATTTGTTACCAGAAATATGATCAGATGCACCTGAATCAATGACCCAAGACTCAGAAGGTGAAGATTGGGAGACACGAGTCATGCTACTATTTGTTGGAACCACAGAGGTTAATCCTGAAGATGTCTGTTTACGCGCTTTGTACTGAAGGAACTCAATATAATCCGGTAAAGAAACCATATGGATTGGATTTATTGCATTTAATCCAACGGATTGTGAGTTAAAGGCTTCCAATACGAATTCCATTATAATATCGTGCCGGAAAAAATAGAAATTTTCTGGGGATCACTGTAGCTGCCGGAAAATCACTGTAGCTGCCGGAAAAAATTCAAAGTAGTCGGAATTGAAAAATAAAATTATGGGTAGGTTCGAAATTTGAGGGCGATCCAACTGCCCTGAAGGAACTTTGTCAAAAAATGGCCGGAAGTGGGCGTACGCGCCGGCGCGTGGGTGCACGCGCTCGCCGGAAAATTTCTTCTACTGGCGCGTGTGGGCGCGTGACAGCTTTTCTGCCGGAGAAATTTTAGAGGGTTGGTCACCGACGAGTGATCTACCTCGTGGTGGTGTTGGTTTTTGCACAACACCGATAGAAAGTGACTTGATTACGGGCAGCCTTCTAAGTCGCCGGAAAATTGCACGGCGACGAGGTCTTTCTTCCCGGAAGTCGCTGGAATGATGCACAGCGATAGGTTTCTCACTAATGCTCGGATACCATGTGAGAAAGCACGGGAGAAAATATATTATTGATTTTTTAATAATGACAATGATACACTGAGCCCTATATATATACAATACATGTCCAACTCCTAATACATATGGGATTAGGGTTATATACTACTATTTATACAATGAAACTAACACAAATCCTTCAAAACCCCATCAAACTCCACAAATTTTAGATCTAGGNATAAGGCACCAATAAATTAATATAAGCCAACAGGGTAATAAAATGAAGCTACGAAACCAATAATACTTCGACGGGAACATCAACAGTCAACATGAAGCAATTAAATAATTCAATAAAGAGAACAACAGTTAACATGAAGCAATTAGACATGGAAACTGTCACGACCCAAAATCCACTAAGGGTCGTGATGGCGCCGGACACCATTGTCGGGCAAGCCAACACTAACTAACTAGTAACTTCTCGTTTTAGATATTTCAAAATGCCCTTCTTTTATACATTTAAACAATAAGGAATAAATTTCACTGAATAATTAATGATATCTTTAACAATTTAAAGATACTGACTAATCCCATAGACATCCCAGAACCCGGTGTCACAAGTGCACGAGCAATTACTAAGGAATCAAATAAAGTGCAATAACTGTCCGGATAC